TCCCTTGGTGGAGGTGCATTATGTTGTTGATGTCCTCCATTTGGTCGGCGAGGAGGTGGCAGATATCTGGGATTCTGGTGATTTCCCAGATCTGCCACACGTGGTGCAGCCTCAACAGGATCTGGCTGCACTGGTCCGCCTGCTACTTGCTGAATCTGGGGAGGTGGCTGTGGCAAATTAACTTGCCCCCCGAGTGCTGGAGCTGGAATATTCTGATTCTACCTTTGAAGATCTGTTACCTGTGGCTGAGGCTCAATTCTGACACGTCGAAATGCCTCCTGCATTCGTTCTGTCTCAGCTTGGAAAGCTCTCCAATTTTCTACATTTTGCTCGCGCCAGATTCTGTTACTTTCTTCATTAGATCGCCACATGTCGGCTACACTTTGGGCTACACTGTGAGCCAAATTCTGAGCCAGATTTTGAAAAGACTCATCCAACTGTCTAGAAACCTCTTGGCTTCTTTGTCGAGCTTTCTCCTCATATTCCATCAGTGTGTGCCTCATGATGCTAATCTAATTTGACACAGCTTTCACAAGAGAATCACCAGATTGAGCAACATCATCTCCAGATTCACTACCCTTGTTGAAGGTAGGATTGACAAAAGAATGCTCCCTAAGTATTGGTGACAATGGTGGTGGAAGGATTGGCTCATTCTCTCCTTCTGAGTGTGTTGGACTGCTTTCACCAAGCCCAATCTGTAAAGTCTGGACAGCCTTCCCAAGGTTTCTTTTTGGAGGCATAATTGCACTTTTTCTTGGGAAAAAGAACAACGGATCTGAAAACTGTAAGTAAGACACGATGAGGTCCCACTAGGCGTGCCAAAAAAGGATTGTTTCCTCAAAAATCCTCTAGTGGCCTCGCACGTGTGAAATCTGATGCGGGTGTGCCACTTACTTTGCTGAAAGTAAGAAAGGAGGACTTTCCCAACGACCCTCTCCTTCCTCACGGTCGACCTCTTCGCAGATGGCGGGAAGAACGTTGGATTAAAATGAAATTTGCGCCTTCAGACGATTTGCAAGAGGGAGGGATACCTTCCTGCAGAATGGGTTACGAAATCTGCCTTGGACAACTCCAAGGACTTAAACACTACCGTGATTTACAATTAACAAATCCTAATTATTCTAAATTACTTGCAATTTAAAATAAACTTGCGAGAAAGAAGTGTTCCCAAATTAAAT